TGCTGCATTTAGGGACTCATGAATCCAGCCTACATGGTGCATTCAGGTACTCACTCTTTGACCACGTCGTTGCTCATGTCGAGGTAGCGGTTGCTGATCCACTGCACCTCGAACCAGTCCCTGAAGTTGTTGTTTCCGCAGCAGCGGAACTCGATCTGAGTCATGTCCAAAGTCCTCTTCATGAAGCAGCGTCCTGGCGTGTCCGTGTCCTTGTAGAAACGGATGGCATTCTTCAGGCCCTCGGCCAGCGTCAGGTACACAGCCAACTGCATGAAGAAGCAGAGCAGCACCAGCAGCAGCAGCAGCGCATTAAAGCCGCAGCACAGCAGCATGTAGGACTTCAGCATCGGCTTCATCTTGGAGAACTTCTGGGGATCCAGAGATTCGTGGCACACTTTCCCTCCAAAGGCGTTCAGGCTGCAGGACACCATTCCCACCAGGATCAGCAGGTTGGGCACCAGGTGGCTCTCGCTGTTGTCCATGATCTCACTCCTCTTCCTCAGCTCGATCTTGAAGAAGATGCCGAGGCTGAAGAGGACGATGCCCACAATGACGGTGAACCAATAAAGCATCCAGAGACCCTGAGCCAGCTTGACCCGCTTCTGCAGGTTGAACTTCAGAGACATGAACGGCATGGTGTCCTCTCACAAAGTTCTGTCTAACGGCAATAATGGCGAAGGTCCAGAAGTCTCCAGAGAAACGATGTGAATCACAGCTGTGCAGCTTCGCACCAAGAGCTCAGACTAGACTGACCCATGATGGAGGCAGAGTGAAGCAGGACAGAGCGGAGCCTGAGTGGACTGGAGGTGTGGGACGGTTCCTAAAGCGGTTCTGATCCGATTAGCAGAGGATCATCTGAGGCCTCTAATCCTCCAATTACCACTAATAGGTTTGGAGCTAAGCAGCAGCTTCCTGTTAGGAGGTTCATCAAGCCCCGCCCCAAACACAGGTGAGGTCCAGTGATCAGCACGCAAAGGTTACCATGACAACAGGCCTAAGGTGCGTATCTGGAAGGGCTTCCGGCACCTTGGCTTGGACTGACCTGCAGTGGGGACCCTGAGGGACCCCGGAGACGTTTTACCTTCCAACAGTAGAAAAGTCCTCCTAGAGACGCTTCTCTGACCCGGTGGAGAGACAGAGAACCATGAAGGAACCATGGTAGAACAATCACAGCAGATCTTTCTATGAAGCTCCTCTGGAAGGGAGAACCTTTGGCTCCAACTGGAAGAACATTGGTTCCGTTCGGACCGCCAGCGTTGTTCCGCCTCACTGCTCTCAGGCCTTTTAATTTGAAACATCCTCACTTCCTGTATCTGTCAGGCCTTCAATAGATAGGAAGGTTTTGTTCCGGTAGAACCGTCCTCATGTTTAAATCTGAACCTTTTCTCTTATCTGTCATTTTATTTTAGGATTATTTAAACTTTTCCTTTTCACAAACTCAGTTTTATAAAATCCTAAGGAAAATATTTCTTCCAGATCCGGTTTTTCCAACCATCTCTGTTCCACCCAGACGTCTTCTATAAGAGGCATAACAGAACCAGGATGCAGCAGAACTGCAGGACTGATGAGAATCTAGAAACATGTTTTCTAGTCCAGCAGCTTTGGATCAGAACCAGAAGAAGAATCGACTCAAACCTTCTTTAAATTCATTTTTATTTAATTTTTTCTACTATAAGACCAACTCATTTGCACAGGAAGTGACGGTAAAGTGACGGAGCGAGCAGCCGAGCCAACACTGGACCCGGGGTTCCACTCCTAAAAACTCAAACAGGAAGTGATGTCATCACAGTCAGTTCGTTAAATAAAACCAAAGAGCAGAACTAAACTAAAAGCCACTTCCTAATCAACACAGGATGGCTGAGCCAATCAACCAACCAGCTGTCAGAACTCAGACGTCCTGGAGGATCAGCTGACCAATCAGCAGTGGGGTCGATCCGGTTCTGCCGGCCGTTGATCCGGTTCAGATCTTTTCCACGAGGCCAGCAGCCATTGGATGACTCTCCCTCACCTGGTTACCATGGTGACCCAGTTCATGAAAATGTCACGGGGCCATGGGACCCTGGTTGAAAAACTGATGTCAGTTGTGCTGCCTCTGATTGGACGACTGAAAAGGGGTCAGTCAGAGGTCAAAGGTCACGATTGAAACACCCTAAAAAAGATCCCTGAAGGCTGCTGACCTCAGCTGCAGCAAACTGATTGGTTCAAAGAAGAGGTTCATTAGTGGGCGGGGCCAAGGCTGAGAGCCAATGAGGTTGGGCGATCACAGGTGCTGCCAGTCGATGGCCACCAGCGTCTGATTGGCCTCCTGGGCGTGGCCGATGACCTCAGGGATGCCGTGCTGCCGCCACAGACGCTCAATCTTCCTGTAGCGCTCTGTGCAGAGGTGGAGAGGGTTCCCTCGCCTGGAGACACATGGACAAACAGGTCAGAGACCGGGTACGGGTCAGAGACTTGGTACAGGTCAGAGACCCGTTACGGGTCAGAGACCGGGTACGGGTCAGAGACTTGGTACAGGTCAGAGACC